TTTTATTAAGTTGTTTTTATTTTGAAATAATAAACAATAATAGTAATTTCTATGTATACAAAATAATTCGGTTTCCTTTTGGAAAATTTTTTCCACACACAAATTTGCAAAAAAAAAATTCGTATCCTTATCAGTAGTTGCTGCTGATGCAGCAATTTCATGCATGCCGACACAGACATTTTGTATTTAATGAATGCCAAGTTCAAGGCTTGCCGATTGATTGTAAATGACGGCTGGAAAAATCATATCAATATAGTTTCAAAAAAACAAAACGTGACAATAATGGGGTTTAAAGTGATTAGAAAATTTAATATTAAAAAATAAAATTCTTTAAAAACAAATTTTGATATTTTCCCTTAATTAGAAAATATTAAAATGTTTAAAAAATATTTTATAATTTCTCTTAAAATATTCTTGCATGTGGCTGTGTTATTAAAAATCCATGCCTTTAACTGTTTAATATTTTATTATTTGAAATATTCTTTAAGATTTCTTAATAAATTTTTAATAACCCTTCCCTTTTATAATTTTTTTTTCAGAATTATATCCTTTAAAAAAATCCTTGTTTATATCACTAAAAAAACTATACAATTTTCCTATTATTTTTTTTAATATTTTAATTTAAAAATATTTCATTTAAATTAATCCATTTATTACCTAAAGACTGCTGTTTAATGTGTGAAACACCCTGTTGTTGAAATAACAGCGCCATCTAGTGGTGAATAGCAATGACAACATAAGTAGCAACACAACAGTAGATGACTGTCATATGACAACAAACAAAGGCATGATTAGGATTGATAACGGTAATTGAATTAGACGTTGTTATTGTAGCAGGCCTATTGCTTTTACACAATGGTGTGAGGTGACAGACGTTGGCCGAGTAAGACTCGGGTCGTTTCGGATCGTATATCCCTCGGCGCGGGGAAACGACGTTGTTATTGTCATTGTTCTTTTCATTAACAAGAACAACAACAACAAAATTCTTTGCATGGCAAACACAACAGTTAAGCATCATGCCTACCATACAATAACAGTACATATGTGTGACAGAGAGGGAGAGATAGAGAAACCCCCATGAGAAGAGCAAATGTGTGCATGCCGGAATTACTGTTATTGAGAGACCAACATTAAATGTGATATTCTTTTATTATGTCAACAGAGATAGAAAAAGGGATTGTGTGTGAGAGAGAGAGAGAGAGAGAGAGTAACACATATGAGATGAGCTAATGTGTGTGATAGAATGCCGTTATGAAGAGTTCGTTGTTTACTTACCATTTTCAAGAGCGAATCAGTGCATGATTGAATTGCTGTTATTGAGAGCCCCGTTATGTACTTACCTGTTTACAATGACAACATCAAATGTTTGTGATATACTTTTATTATGTCAACAGATATAGAAGAAGGGAGTGAGAGAGAGAAAGAGTAAATAACACCAATGAGAAGAGCTAATGTGTGTGATAGAATGCCTTTATTAAGAGCCCGTTGTTTACTTACCTTTTCACTGTGGCAAAATTAAAAAAATGACATCAAATGTCCTTGTTTAATTTGTCAACAGATAATATATCTGTATATTTAATTTTATATAATATATATTATATATTATTTAAAATAATAATAATAAAATAAAAACTATAATAATTTATAACAAGTAAAAAAAGAGTACTACCCAAAAGCAACAAAATAAATTAAAATTAAAAAAAAAAACAAATGATTAAGAATTTACAAACAATTTTTTCTAAATAACAGTTATAATTGAAAAAACATAACAAATATGAAGAATATATGAGATAGAGAGTGTTTTGAAAGAGAAAGAGATATAGAGAGCAGCAATGAGGCATGTATCAGTTCCAGTTTCAGTTCATTTAATGAGATGAGAGTCTTTTTCTTCTTCCTTCCACTATTATTATTTTTTAAATAGGTTTACTTGGCTAAGTTCTAGTTAAGGCATGAAATGCATATTGTTCGATTAACGAGATGTGAACTATAAAATATGGCAACACTGTTCGACATTTGAGGCCGTTGAACTACGTGGTTTTGTATTACTATAATCATTGGTCTGAAAGAAAGAAAAACAAAAAAAAAAATAAAATAGACGATAGAAATATAGTATGAGAGATAGAAAATAAAGACAATATGCATACATATGAGATATTAAAAAATAAATGTGGTAATGCGAAAATATATAGCATGATGAAGGGTACTAATGTATTAACTCTCTATGATAACTGTCAGTCAGAGAGAAAGTTTTTTTTTTTTGAAATGAAGAGTTTTTCTCTCAATATTTATTTAATTTAAAAGAAATAAAAATATGCTTCGTACCGGAACCCTCAAGTATCGTCTATTACTCGAAAAAATTTTTTTTCGATTTTCCTATTAAAATTTTGAAAAGTTTTTTTTTTACTTCTCGGCTTAGGGAACATGAGAAATACATTGTCTGTCTGACAAATGTCAAGGGTTTGTCATTTTTCATAAGGTGATATTGCAAACAAAAAAAAATGTGGTTTCTCAAATGTAATTTTTAATTAAATTTTTTTATTGTATAAAATGTTGAATAGGAAATTAAAAAAATCAATGATATAGAAGGAATAGAAAGCGATTGCTCCTACTTAAAGATGAGCGTTTAAAACCTAAAATTAAAAAAAAAAAATAAAATTCAAATTAAATTAGAAAAAAAAATAAAAAACAAATAAAAACAAATAAAAAATTTAACAAAAATTAAAAAAAAACGAATAAATTTAAAAAATAATCACATACAAATTAAAATGATTCCAATAATAATAATAAAATATTAATAAAAAACATTTCAAAAAGGACGAATATTTTACAAATATTAGACCGTGATTAAAAAAAAAAATATTTTTATAAAAACTAAAGAGTTGGATTTTATTACAAAAGCTATTTTACATTTTTTTAAAGAAAATATTCTCTTTAAAAAAACCCTAAATTTATAAAAAAATCTGAGCAAAAAACATTAAAAATAGATTTTTTCTTTTGTCTAATTCAGAGCTGATATTTTTAGCGAAAATATTTTACAAATCCAAGGCTGATAAAAACGTTTTTTTTTTAATTCAAAATGAGTGCGGATTTTTTTTAAATTGATGATTTTTTTAAAATGTTTTTTTTTAAGAATCCCCGCTTTTAAATAATTTTTTATATTATTTTTTCTCATAAAAAAAGGATATTTTTTCAAATATAAAATGAGCGCGAATTGTTTAAAAATTTTTTTTTAAGATCAAATCCGAATGAAATATTTTACAAGTCCAATCAGAAGTTTAACAACCTTCTTACAACAGTTTAAAACAGTTTTTTTTTAAATTCAAAATGAGTGAGAAATTTCTTTAAATATTTTTTTAAAGATCAAATCAGAATTCCAATTTTTTTTTAAATGAGATTTTTAAGGATCCCCGCTTTGAAATGATTTTTTATATAATTTTTTTTTATAAAGTATTTTTTTTTCAAATTTAAAATGTGCGCGAATTGTTTAAAATACTTTTTTAAGATCAAATCCGCATGAAATTTTTTACAAGTCCAATCAGAAGGCTGTTAAAAAAGATAATAGCGGGTATAGATAAAAACCGTTTCTTTTTTAATTCACAATGAGTACGATTTTTTTTAAATATATATTTTTAAGATCAAATCAGAATTCAGATTTTTTTAATGAGATTTTTTAAGGATAAGGATGATTTTTTATGTTAATTTTTTTATAAAGTCTTTATATACCCCATATGGGGTATATAAAGACTTTATGGGTCTTGGGTCTTTTTATACCCCATGTGGGCTGTATAGAGACCATAGGTCTTCATATACCCCATATGGGCTGTATAGAAACCATAGGTCTTTATATACCCCATATGGGCTGCATAGAGACCATAGATATTTTTCAACACCTTTTAGGTGAAAATTTTTTCGGGACCTATCAGAGTCAAAAATCCCTTTAAAATTGATTTTTTTAAACAAGGTTTATCGCAGGACAATTGGAGCCTAGAAATAATCATTCTTCTTCTGTTGGCTGATACCCTAAGAATTATAATTCAGCATTAGTAGACCCTATTTTTCCTCAGAGTAGTATACCTGAAGAGCCTCCTCTTTCACACATGTCCCGAAGATTTTTATTCTTATGTATTTGTATGTGTGTGTTGGTAACCAATTTTGCAAAATTTTTTCCAAATAAGAAATTTGTAGTACACTAGACTTTTGGTTTTTTCAGTTATATTTTTATTTAGACTATTTTCTTTCTTACTGTTGTTGTTGTTGCGGTAATATTATTTTACTTCATTTTAATAATAATTCATGTTACGAATAGTTAGCCGTATTTTTTTTCTATAGATATATATTTTTGTTTGTTTCAATAAATAATGTTGTTGTTGTTTTACAATTTGCATTCAATAAAGAGTGAGAGAGAGAGTTTGAGTATTGTGGCGAGGGGATACAATACTATTATTTTACTTTTTTTTAAAAATACAAACTAGTTTGTGTTACAGTTTGTAAAAAAGGCGGGAATAAAAACAAAAAAATAAATAGAAATTGGAGGGAGGAGAAATAATAAAAAAAACTAAAGAAAATAATTTGTTTACAGGAACTTTGTTTTAAAACAAATATGGGACGGTCTATTTTTTTGTTGGGGGAGGATTGAAAACATAATTTTAAATCTTGCCTTTTATATAACTATATAATAATATACTATAAATTACAATATATTTTTTAATTTGTATTTATAGTTTGGAATAGAGTTTGGAAATGCCGCCATCATAATGGAATTTTTTTCTATATTAAATTGCATTTCTCTATTAGTTATCATTTTGTTACTTGCTTTTTATTTATTGCCAATGTTGTGGGTATTTTTCATTTTTGGTTCTATAATTCATTCATTTCAAAATGGTGGTAAAATAAAATAAATTTCAATTTATTTTTTTATATAAATTTCTTTATAGATGCTTACTAATTTTTGTTTAATCTTTTCTGGTTTACAAAAGTCAAATACTTTTGGGGGCAGAAACAAAGAAAACCCAAAAATCAAGATAAAACATGAGTTTTTAAATTAATTTACCCATTTAGCAAGAATGTCCTGTAACAGAAAAAAACCAGATTAAATACCAAAATATGAAAAAAGTATTTAAAAAAATCTCTAACCTTCATATCATCCATTTCCTCTTCCGAAGATGAATGCGACAAACCATTGTAGGTTTTGAAGGTAACATTTTTCATAAAGTTCTTCAAATAGCTAGCACTCAATTGGCCAAATTTATAGGGTACAACGGGATCAAAGTCACCATGGCATTGGAAAATCTAAAAAAAAACCAAATTAAAAAAAAAATCATAAAAAACAACTACAAAAATCAAATCATTTTTCTCTTACCGGTATTTCATCGGAATTTGTTTTGAGCCCAGGGAATTGTTTATGCAATGGCAGCCAACAGGATAGAGCCACAACACCGGCCAGCGGTTTGTTGTAGGTTAGGGCCGAGTACAGGGCCAAGGCTCCACCTTGTGAAAAACCCCCTAGAACAATACGTTCAGCTGGCACCCCTTTTTCAATTTCGGTATTGATCATGGTATGGATATTCTGTGAAGCTTGCTTAATGCCTTCCTCATCTTCAGGGCCGGAAATATCCAAAGTTTTTAAATCAAACCATGATGGCATACGAAAACCAGCATTTAATGAAACGGGTTGTGTTGGTGCCGTGGGGCAAACCACTTTCATGCAGGCTGGACGTATGGCAGCCAAAGCACTGCTCCAACCATGGCTGAAAGGAAAAAAGAAAGCAACGTTAAAAATAGGTAAAATAAAGAAATGGGAATAATATAATTCTATGAGAGACCTCATAGAGAATTTCTAGTCAATTAGCGCTTCATAGAGATTTTCTATTTATAGGAAAACTACAAGAGGTCAAAGAGACTATATAGACCACATTGGCTGTATAGCGACCATAGGTCTTTATATACCCCATATGGGCTGTATAGAGACCATAGGTCTTTATATACCCCATATGGGCTGTATAGAGACCATAGGTCTTTATATACCCCATATGGGCTGTATAGAGACCATAGGTCTTTATATACCCCATATGGGCTGTATAGAGACCATAGGTCTTTATATACCCCATATGGGCTGTATAGACACCATAGGTCTTTATATACCCCATATGAGCTGTATAGAGACCATAGGTCTTTATATACCCCATATGGGCTGTATAGAGACCATAGGTCTTTATATACCCCATATGGGCTGTATAAAGACCATAGTTCTTTATATTCCCCATATGGGCTGTATAGAGACCTTGGGTCTTTATATACCCCATATGGGCTGCATAGAGACCTTGGGTCTTTATACAGCCCAATTGGGCTGTATGGAGACCTTGGGTCTTTTTAAGAACCAATTGGTCAGTATGAAGTCATTGGGTCTTTATAAGGACCAATTGGTCAGTATGGAGTCATCGGGCCTTTACAAGGACCAATTGGTCAGTATGGAATCCTCGGGTCTTTATAATGACCATTTGGCCTTTATGGAGTCCTCAGGTCTTTCTAAAGACCAATTGATGTTTATTAAGCCGAAAGGGGTCTGCATAGACATAGAAATATATTTTTTTGCTTCCTTTCCGCACAATCCAAAGTTCAATCTTGATAAGGAAAATACTGGCCGCTTAGAATAACTTTAGGTCTCTGTTTTACATCATGTACATACATACATACACACCACAGATGCTTTGTGATGACATACAAATAAAATTGATTAGATTATTTTTATATAGAAATAAATGTCAAAGTAATACAATTATTAACACTCTACATACCCAGTATCGCCAAGACCATGCATAAATATCAACTGTAATTAGAAGAATTGGCATGAGAAAAAAACAGTACGAAACAGAAAAAGAAAAGGGTGGGTAGGTGGTTAAAAAAAATGACATTAACCTTGTTATGGTTGGTAAGGTTCGTTTGTGGGAGGAGAAGGAGGTGGACCGACAAAAAGTCAATAGTATTTGTAAAAAGAAACTTACCGTAGCCGTATGTTTGGCTGTAGCCTCTATAATAACGGGTGCAATGGACATTGTGTGGACTTGCTTTTCGAATTGATGGGGAGAAATTGGTTAAAAAGAGTTCTGACTGGCTTCCTAGTATTGCTTGTTGTTGATTGTGTGTGATTTTTTTATCTCTTATGGATCCAGGTACACTTTTTTTCTTTTGCTCACACCAAATTGTGGCTCTGCTGCTGATAATGTTCAATGCTATGCAAATCACAACACGTTATAACTACAATAAAAAAACAAAAAAATTACAAATTATTAATCAAGTTTTTTCGTGATTTAACCTAAAGCGGTCCATAATTAATAGTTCTCGTACGCCACCAGGGCAAATTTATGTGCAAAATTGATTTGGCTTATGAAAGAACTTCGAGACATGTTTAGGCATGTGTGCAAATGCACTTCTTTTGCTCATAACTTGTTATTTATTAATAATTAATGACTTTAATTAATTGTGTATTGTTTAATTAATATTATTTATTGTTTTTTTGTAATTATTACCTATTTATTTTTTGTTAAAAATCTTGAAATTATTGCCGAAAAAATTGGGGTAATTTTACTATCTGCATCAGCTGTGTGACAGTTGCTGTCACAGCTCTACGTCATGGCAAAGGGGATAGATGCTCTAATCATGACGCCCAGCGTTTGGAGTCAGTTGTAAGGGGTGCAACGTGTATGAAAGCGTATGACAAGTGGCAGACAATGGACTTTTCAGTAGAAAATTCATGTTTTTGGATTATTTAAACATTTTTTTGTGGGTTTTGAGTTATTTAAAAAAATGTATATAATAAAATGGATGTTTTTAATTATTTAAAAACTATTTTTTTTATTTTTTATGTAATTTAAGGCATAAAAATGTAAATAATGAGTGAGAAATAAATATGCATTAAAAAATGTACGACCAAATTTGAGATTTTTGAAAAAATGTTTAAAAAAACCAGCACACGTCTTATTGGACCTTCGAAAAATGTTCATTAAAAACTACAGACTAAAGGGTCCAACACCTTAAAATTAAATCCAAACCCAGTTCGGCTGGTTGAAAAACAAAAAGATTCTTTAAAAAATCGATGCTATTTTAAAGTTTTGAATAATAGTCTTTAATTTATTAAATGCATTAGTTTAATTAATTTCAAGAAAAAACTAAAACGAATTTCAAAAAAAAAGAAAACTAAAAATACTCCATTAAATTATGGCCACCATTCTGCCGAAGTTATTTCAAATCTTCCTCGACGCGCGTAAATATTTCACAACATTTTGCAAAACGATAAAGTTCCAGCGGATTTAATACCCTCGGTTGTTGTGCCTTTTTCTTTAATTCCATTAGCCTCAGCTTCAATTGCAAGGTCAAAGATTTACGCAACTGCGTCATATTGTACAGTTTCAAGATCATTTGTGACCGTTGGGTATTCAGCAGTGGAGACGCATCATCATTGACAGTTTTCGAATTCTTCTCTTCATTCTTTTTGTCATCATTTTTCATTTCAGAATTTTTGCTTTCATTTTCATCATCATTGTTCGAAATTTTATCAATTTGATATTTCAGTTCCATTTCCCGATATTTAAGGTTATTCAAAAACCAAGTGGTGGCCAGCATTGCTACCGAAACACGAATAGCAGCAAATTCGATATGAAATTTTGATGCATTATTTAGAGCTGTTTTTAGAAAATCTTCAAATTCTTTATTCGCCTTTTCCATTTGGCTTTCAATGGTTTTCTTCACGGTTCTCAAATCCGACATTTCCATTTTTGAGGTAAAAATATTTTATTTTTTTACTTTACTTAGAACGTAGCGATTACAACGAAGCTCGCTGTTAAATGCAGTTTCGAGAAATGATTCACAGTTGGAATCTGGGTATTGATAAAGGGGAATTCCCATATTTCTCAGAGTGTGAGGGAATTTATTTACAGGGTGACACAGTTATGACAAAAAATAATTCGTGACTGTGGCAACATTTGTAATAGCCATGACAAGTTCGAGGGTGACACATCGAAACAATCTATTTCAACGTAAAACGATAAATTTTGGTTATAACCTACACAAAAACCCGAAGAACCGGTTACAAGACCTAAAATGTTATATGAAATATGTTTAATATATTTAACAACTCATAATAAAAACAGAATAGTAGCAAAAAACAGCATATTAAACCATACAAAAACTTTGAATCAAATAAAAAACCGAATAATCGGTTCCAGAAAAAACCGAAATTTTAAACGAAAATTTTCAGTTTTGTTTAATTCGAAAGCCCCAAACAAGAATTTCAAAAATATTACCAAAAAAAGTTGGAAACATTGCAATAACCGACAACAAAAAACCGAATAACCGGTTTAAAAACCCACGATTTTATAAACATTTGGAAATTTATAAAACAAATCATAATGAAAAAGTAATCCTACTAAAAACTACTAATGAATCCATTTAAAAACACTAAAAAAATGCAAAAACCGAATAATCGGTTCCAGAAAAACTGAGATTATTGAATGTAACAACTCATTTTTCGAAAGCCCCAAGAAAGAATTTAAAATATATTACCAAAAACATCGGAACCTTTACAATAACAGACACCAATAAAACCGAATAACCGGTTTATTTATAAAACAAATCAAATTGATAAATGTAAGACTAGCAAGAAAACAGTAATTTATCTATTCAAAATCACGGAAGCAATACAAAAAACCGAATAACCGGTTCCAGGAAAACTGAGATTTTTTGAATGTAACGACTCGTTTTTATTTAATTTGAAAGCCCCAAGAAAGAATTTCGAATATATTACCAAAAAAAAAAATCGGAAACATTACAATAACCCACACCAAAAACCGAATAACCGGTTACATAACCTACGATTTTATATAAAATATTGTCAATTTATTTAACAAATCGTTATGACAAATGTTATACTAATAAAAAACACCGATTAAACCTTCCTAGAATACTGAAAACAAATAAAAAACCGAATAACCGGTTTTAGAAAAACGGGAAATTTTTTGACAAAAAATCCGATTTTAATGATATATATAACTTTTGTAACATTCGGAACCGAATGGCTACCATAAGCCTATAAAATATTCGAATAATTATAATAAAAAAAACGAATAACCGGTTATAAAAATTTCTGATTTTATATAAAATTTTGCAAATTATTACACAAAACGTAATGAAAAAAGTAATACGACTATAAAATACCAACTATCTCTTTCCAGAGTGCTGAAAAATAAACAAAACCGAATAACCGGATCTAGAAAATCCGATTTTAAAAACGATGTTTTATTTTTGTGTTATTCTATACCCCTATAGACCCAAATAGCTACGATAAACCTATAAAATATTCGAACAACTTGAAAAAACCGAATAACCGTTTATAAAAACCGATATTTTTGTATAAAATATTGCCAATTTATTTAACATATCGTAATGGAAAATGGAAAATTGAATAACCGGTTATAAAAAACCGGATTTAAAAATAGTTTTTTCATATTTTTAATTCGATACATAAAACATTCGTATATTGTGAATAAAAAAGCGAATAACCGATTATAATAGACCAAAAACCATGGAATTACATAAAAAACGTTGTAAAAACCGAATAACCGGTTACCTAATATATATATATATGTATATATATATATATATTTATTTGAATTACGTTATGTTAGTTCTAAGTTGGAGTTTTGCAAGAACTCACGAGAAACAGGAATTACATAAAAACATCCCAATACAAAACCCGAAAAACTGGTTCTATGAAATCGTGTTTTTTTAATAAATTTAAATAAAATGTCAATTTTTTTCAAGAGTGTTAGGAAAGAGGTGCTGAAACCTGGGATTTTTTCGCAGTTTCTTTGGATTTGTGATATTTTATTGTCGATGTGTCACCCTTTAAGTTGTCAAGACAATTACAAATGTTGCCACTGCCACAAATTATTTCTTGTCATAGCTGTGTCACCCGGTAAATAAATTCCCTACGCTCTTTAAATATGGGAAAACCCGTTATCAATTCCAGGAATACAACTGGGAATCATTTCTTAAAAGGGCATTTATCAACGCTTTTCAGTGCATTCGCTTCGTTCGCTTCGTAAAGTAAAAAGCCTTTCACCTCGGGAAAAAATGTCGGATTTGAAAACCGTAAAGAAAACCATTGAAACTCAAATGGAAAAAGCGAATAAAGAATTTGAAGACTTCATAAAAACAACTTTGAATAATAAATCGAAATTTCATATTGAATTGGCTGGCACTCGTGTTGCGGAAGCAATGTGGACCACCACTCGTTCTTTGAATAAACTCAAGTATCGAGAAATGGAACTGAAATATCAAATCGATAAAATTCCGTTTATAGATGATGATGAAAATGAAAGTGGAAATTCTGAAACGAAAAATGGCAAAAAGAATGAAGGGAAGAATTCGAAAATTGGCAATGGTAATGATGCGTCATCACCGCCGCTGAATACCCCGCGGTCACAAATGATCTTGGAACTGTACAATATGACACAGTTGCATAATACCCTGACTTCGGAATGGAAGAAGAGAGTAATGGAGTTGTTGAAACAGGCACAAGAACCACGGGTATTAAATCTCCAGCAGCATCATTATATGGCTGCATTTTGTAAAGTATGTATGGGCGCCGTAAAAGGTCTGGAATAATTTTGACCGGCATGATGACGATGACAGGGTGACCATATTTCAATGGAGTATTTTGTGTTTTCTTTTTTTTTTGTTTTGCTTTATTTTTTCAAATGTATTGAACTTCATTTTCTTTTGTTGTTGTTGTAATCAATTAAAAAAGTATTCAATAAATTCAAGATTTTTTTTGAACGCTCGTTTTAGAAGAAAATTTTTTTGAAAAAGTATTTTTTTAAATCCATGCCTTGATGGACCTTTGGAAAAATATTTAGCTTAACTCTTGCTTGGTAAAAACGGTCTGAAGATTATCCAGAGGTAGGTATTTTTACCCTAATTATGGGGATATCTTTTTTTCTTGGGGGACATACCCGGTTATTTGACCCGGAAGTTTGGGTACGGTTACCGGTATCCG